CTGGACAAAACAATAAAACAAAAAGGCTTCCTTGATCCTACATCCCTTTTTTAGCTCCTTTCCCACTTTTTTGTTTTTATAGCAAAATTTCATGAAAACATTAGGTATACATAAGACCTCTACATCCTTATTTCTATTTCTTGTTGAATATCCTCTAGTTAGGCTTTTTCTCCCCATCATTGTTATAAAAATCAGCAATAGCTTCTATGGCTTAGTCCTTACCTTGCAGAATTTCTTGGCAGCACTCAGTAGAGTTGATCTCCCTCCTTTTTGGAGCATTTCTTCATTGGCTTCTGAGACACCATATTCTCTCTCTCTCTCTTTTTCTTGCCTACCCGCCTTCAGCTCCTTTGCTGGACCCTTCTCCTCCTTTGCATCTTGTTAGGGCTCAGTCCCAGACTGTCTTTATTTCTCTAAATATGTTAATTCCTTGGGTAATTTTATCTAGTTCTACGGTGTGATAGTTAATTTTGTGTGTCGAGTTGGTGCCCAGTTGTTTGGACAAACACCAGTCTAGATGTTGCCATGAAGGTATTTTCTGATGTGATTAACATTGAAATCAGTAGACTTTGAGTAAAGCAGATTCCCCTCCATAACATGAGTGGGCTTCATCCAATCATTTGAAGGCCTTAAAAGAAAAGATTGAGGTCTCCCAAAGAGGAAGGAATTATACCTCCAGACTGCCTTCAGACTTAATACTGACTTAATTCCAGGCTGCTGGCTTATCTTGCAGGTTTTGGACTTGCCAGACCCACAATACTGTGAGCCAGTTTTAAAAAATAAATCCCTATCTATCTATCTGTCTATCTATCTATCATCTATCCTATTGGTTCTGTTTTAATGGATAACCCTGACTAATATACATGGCATTAAAAATCTTTTGCATTATTTCTTGAATTCCAGATACCACTGCCTACTCAGCATCTCCATTTGTCCTAAACTATTATTTTCCATCTCTTCCAATCCCATCTTTCCTTCTCCTACCTGAATGTTCTCCCTTTTCGTTAAAGAATGCCCTCATTTACCCAGTTGCCAAAGCCAAAACTATGGAGTCATGATTGATTCTTCTCTTTCTTTTACATCCATCATTACACCCATCTGCAGAGCTTATTAGCTTTATTTTCAAATAATATATCTTCTCACCTCACCAATCCAAGCATCCAAGCTTGGACCACCACTGTAACTTCCTAACTGGTCCATCTTCCTCCACTCTAAGTCCTGACCTCCTTGCCCCGCTGTCCACCTTAGTCTGTTCCCCACACAGCAAAGCAACACTTCTAAGATAGAAGCTATCCTCTCATGAAACTTTGGCTTGTTATCACATTTATAAATCCAAAATCTTAACTATGGCCTTGGGGCCCCAGATACTCCTCTGACCTCACTACCTACCACTTTTTTTCTTGCTCACCGAACTTTAGACACATTGGTTCCCTTGCAGATCCTGGGACAAGTTAAGTAGACTCCCAGCTCAGGGCTTTAGTACTTCCTGTTTCCTCTGCTGAGAAAGATCCTCTGCCCCGTCCCCAATACTCTTATGGCTTGCTCCCTCATTTCACTCTGGTCTCTGTTTAAGTGCCATATTCTTAGATCTTTCTTGACCTCTGTTAGGGAGAAAAATTTCTTTTTTACTCATGTAGGTTCTTCTAGCTGGTTTAAGAATTCGATTAAATTAATTTCTTATTAATTTCTTTAATATGAAATTAAAGTTTAATTTCATATGTACGGGGCTCCATAAAAAATGAGGCCCAAAGACAATCAGGCAATTGAGGCTTGAATGCCAACCGGAGCTAAGGAGAATGGGTTGGAGTCTGAGACTTCAGTGGGGAGGAAGGCAATTCACATGGAGATGGAAAAACAAATGTTTGGTAAACAAGTGTTTGCTATACCATGCAATGACAGTGGGACATGGCAAGGACACAGAAAGGGCTTTGAATGAGCAGGCCTTGCTAAGTTCCCCCAAGCCCACAACTCCTTTATATTCTTTGTAGTTATCTCTGGTGACAGCTCTTCTTTCTGGAATAGGCCCTTTACCTAAATTCTTTTAGGCAATTAAGGGGGAGATAAAAAGCTCTTCCCGAGTTTTTTGTTTCTTAAAAATAATCAGTCTAAAATAAATTTTATGCCAAAGAGACATATTTTGGGGTGGCAAAATCCCGCTCCCCTTCACCTCCCTACTCTACTTTATTCTTCTTCAGGGTACAAAAAATTCTTCTCCCCATTTTCTTTTGTGAAGGAGTGCAAAGAAATGGGGTGCTTACTATGGGGGTTAGGGCACATGGGATCATAGGAGCCGGTTTTAAAATGGGAAAGCTGCAGTGTGTTTGTATGGTGATGGAAATGATCAGGTAGAGAACCAGAAACTGATGATGCCAGAAATGGAAGCTAATTTCAGGAGTGAAGTTATTGAAGACTGAGAAGGCAGGAAAAGATGAGAATCCATACACAAGTGGAGAAGTTGGGCTTCTTAAAACAGGAGTGAAGGCAAGTAATATGGCAGCTTGGTGGTTGAGAGGGAAATAGGAGAAAGTTCTGTCTAGTTGATTGTATTTTCCTAAAGTAGAAAGCAGGTCCTGAGCCAATGGCAAGGTGTAGGTGTATTAGACATTTGAGACAAAAGGAATACGTGTGAAATATTCACTTTGGAAACTGGTAAAACAGAAATATCAGAGATGTAAAGCCTTGCTGGGCAGCTTTGGGGACACATTGAGGTTTGTGGTCTTGACTTTAAAGTGAAATCACTTTTAATTCCTGTTTTCCTCCGGCAGTGTTTTGCTGCTTAAGTAGAGGGCAGACTACTAGGTTTGATAAGGGTGGACCTTGCCAGGTCAGTACAATTGAGTTTAGACTGAATCTCAAGGGTCCTAGAGAGCTACTAAAGGATTGAATGGAAAAGGTATGGGTGTCAGAAAGGTTTCTAGCTCAGTGTGGTGTATATGTGTGAGAAAGGTTTATTTATAGGAGGAACAGTACAATGCAGTAGGATCCTTGATCAGACATCTGTATAAATCTGTTTATAATGTGCTTAGATGTTAGCTCAGGAACACAGAGGGTGTTTTCAAGCATTTTCTGAGTACTTACTTTATATAGCAGATTCTGGGAAGACAAGATAGATAAGAGTTTTGCCTTCCCAAAGCTCTCTTGGATTTAGATGATTTGTAATTATTTTTAGGTATTTTCAGGGACACAAAAGAGGGGAGAAATGATAAACACTGGGTTGGAATCAGGGAAGTCCTCCCAGAGGAAGTGACATTTCCAATGAGGTTTGAAAGTAGTCTTTAGGGAAAATAATTTCAGGCAGAGGGAATAACATGAGCTCAGCCAAGAAGTATAAGATGTATGACTAGAACAGATGCTGCATGATGGGAAGAGGTGGGAGATGAGGCACTTTTTCCATTAACTAACAACTAGGTAGAACTAAGGAGTTCTCTATTTTGTGACAAGGGTAAGGCATCTGGGCCCTTAACAGCAGCGAGAAGGGTTTAAAAGAAAAGCTAAGGTTTTTAAAAATAGTGATTTTTTTTTTACTTAAAAAAAAAAAAACGATGTGAAGCTACTCTAGGAATTTGTGCTACAATTTGCTCACTTAAGAATAGTGTGAAGTTAAATGCCTTATCTAACCTTGTCTCTTATGCTGTTATCAAATATTAACTATAGTAACTGACCTGTCATACAAGGCACTTCAAAATGAATCCTTATCACTTGCTTTTAGTACATTATTTCAAGTTAAATTATTTTAAAGTCCCTCACCTAAGACATACTTTTGAAATAAGCTATAGTTCTATATATTTTTTTAAGAATGAGGAGTTTATGACCCTGGTTCGTGGACTGTTACTGTGTAGATAAAATGAGCTAAGGCCTATCAAATGGTTAATAGTTTGTTTTCTCCATTAGTTCCAGCTTTCTTTCTATCACATTTTTCATTCTTTGCTCTTTAAATCACACTGTCTCCTGAATAGCAAAGTTGGGGACCCAATGCCCCCAGGTGATGGATCTGTGCTAGCCCTATCCTGTGTTCTAGGGACCCCAGAAGGAGTAAACTGTGGTGGTTATCATGCAGACACAGTGTCAATTCAGTGGGTGAGAGGCTTGGAAGAGACTCAAAGATTTGGATTAAGAAACCAGCAACCCTTTGACCTAAGCGTGCTTTAGTTTGGCAGTATCCAGACAAAGAAGTGAGGAAGACATATATACATACATACACACATACACACACACACACACATACATTTATTTGTTTGTTTGTTTGTTTGTTTGTTTAGCCAATAGTCATAGCCACCTACTCGTGCAAGGTGCTGAGTAAGAATATGAGTAAGAGCAGGGAAGTATGAGAGCATGGCTCACTTGGGCAGCTGCAAGGGGCAGGCCATCGCTGGAATTAAAGATATGCTCAGTTTTCCTGAAAACAAACATGACAAACTCAAACCTGAGTGGGATAAGGAGGAAGAACTATAAGGGGAAGTTATGTGTTGGTGAGAATTTGTCACTTCTTTTCAGGATTACTCAGGGTGGACTAGAAGTTTCTTTTGAAAGCCTGATAACTTACTTTCAGGAATTGCCCGGCTGACTAATCTATTACCTGAGGGCATTGAGTCCCCAACTTTGCTATTGCCCAGAGAGTTAAAACTCAGACGCCTAAGTTGCTCCCCATACCGATGACATCACAATGTCTGAGAGTGGGAGCAGGGCGTAAGCATTTTTAAAGATCGTCCCATGATTACGGTGCGGTGCGCAGATAAGTTCTAGAGTCACTGCTTTAGGGCATAGTCCAGATTTGTTCATTTAAAACCCACTCTTATTTTGGTTCCAAACATTCCTTAAATTTTTTTTCTCCTTTCTTGAGGGAGGAGGGTGGCGCTATGAGCAGGAAGAGGATATGGTATCACCCAATTAGGGGCTCCTGGTTTGCTAAACCTTTAGCGTAGGTTGCCAGAGCTGCACGAGGAGTGGATTTTTGCTTTGTCATTCTGACTCTGGCTGTTGGCCCGCCCACTCAGAGCAGGGAGTGGCTTCTTGTAATCGCGAGGAACCTGCAAACCGGTTCCCCTATTTGCTTCTGTCCTGCATTGCACCGGAGCGGAAGGTGGTGGGACGTCTGAAGAGCCTGATGTCCTAGAGCTCGTGTTCATGTAAGCTTCGGGTTAGCTGACAACAGACAAAGCTCCGAGTGTTGAGGCTGTCAGCATGCTGGGAACATAAGCATTCGCCTGCCGGTGCGTGAGGAATGCAGGAGAAGGGAGATGTTTTAAGGCGTGTTTGAGTAGGGATGAGGTTTTTCTAAGGTAAGCGAGCTTCTTGGAGGCGTTTATTTTTTCACACGGGTCAGTGAAAGCTTGGCCTGTGGTAGGCGACACTGGCTCCCTGTCGACTGGTGGTTGCCTTCCACTAGCTCTTTGTAGAGATTGTTTGCAGAATATCTGAGAAAATGGGATTTTGCATCATTTATTAGTGCATAAGTCTTGAACTGTAGATAACGTGATGGATTGACAGGCCCTCGACAGCGTTAAGAGAGTATATAACAATTTGAGGATGCCTTTCAAGGAATTTTACACTATCGAATCCTCAGAAATCCTGAGCGGTTGGCAAGTCATAATGTATTTCCATGTTTATAAGTGGGGAAACCAAGGCTCAGGATCATATGACTTGCCCCAGGCAATTAAACAGGACAGCTAAGAGCGGAACCAATGCTATATATCTCACTATATCAGGCAGTACCTGAGTAGCGGATAAAAGCCTACACCACACTGCCTGGGTGTGAATCCTGGCTCTGCTGTTGACTGACTAGCTGCTTGAAGCTGGACAGTCACTTTCCCTATCTGTGAAATGGACCTGATAGGCCCTACTTCAAAAAGTAGTTGTGAAAATTTAAGTGTTCATATATACAAAACACTGCAGAAGTATTAGCTACTATTATTACTATTATTGCCAAATATACTTGAGTGTTGGTGTGGCTTTTGTCTCTTGAATGGGCCTGATGTCAGTGTAACTGTAGTCTATTTTTAATTCTCACTGACTCATTCTAAATTCACCCGTCTGTAAGTTGGACCATTAGCTCCCATGACATATGTCATATAGGGTGTTGCTGTATTGCTTCAACGTTCCTAAATAAATCAACCTAAGTGGGCAGTGTTTATTTTGCCTCAGGGGTTCAAATTTCAAAGAAACATTGGAAGTTGGGTTTTGGCATTCTGTACGGATGCAGCTTTCAAAGGAGGATTAAGTTGGGTGGTGCTTTATAAAAGCTGAGATAAATGTGCCTTAAGCCTCCTTTTTGAGGCTTTCCTGAATTCCGGATTTACTGGGAAAGTAGGTCGTTTAAGTTTAGAGAGACTTGCGATGATTTGAGTCTGAGTCTGACCGGAACTCTGGCGTTAGGAGCCGGCCTCGAGGCCATGTTTCCAGCTTCTGTGCCCGTCTACCGGGTCCAGGATCCAAGCCTGGTCGCGCGCGGAGCTAGGGCACTGCCTGGGCTGAGGCAGGTGGCGCTGTCCGGCGGGCGGGATGCGGTTCGCCTGGGGGGCGCGCAGTTGGCTACGCGGAAGCCCCGCCCCCGCCGCGCACTTCCCGCCGCGGCCGGGAAGCCTGACCCGCTCCCTTCTCTGCTTCTGTGCCACAGAGGACGGGCGGGGCCTCGAGGGAGCACTGTCCGAACTGACCTCGGAAACCGGCGTACCGGTTGTGTTTGTGAAAAGGAGGAAGATAGGCGGCTATGGTCCAACCCTGAAGGTAGGTAGGAGACTGTAATGTTTGTTTCACCCGCGTGTGCGGGGAGCGAGCCCCTGGAGCCCTTCGTGGTCGCAGCCCTCCTTTCAAAGCCAGGGTGGATGCGAAGGAACCTCCACATGGAGTCCATCCTAGTAAAACGACAAAGAAACACGCTGGGGCTGGCTCACGTGTTAATCGAGGTTGATGAGACGTGGGGTCAACTTCAGAACTGGGGAAGGGAATACGTAACTATTTTCACCTTTTAAAATATGTTTGTAAAAGTGACCTATTTTCTCTTGTTGTCCCTCCCTCTTTCAGAGTAAATCTAAATAACTTAATCATTTTTAGCAGTAGTGTAAACTGCTGAAAGTGAGTCGTTTAGGGAAGTACTCAGAAAAGGCGATCAGGAAATGCTTACTTTCGTCGTCCCTGTCATCTTCTTTAATTTTCTGGGAGGGAAACCCAGAAACCCCTGGCTCGGGGAAGAGCAACCAGGAACCTCCTCTGAGTGAGTT